ATGCAGACGGGAAAACAAAAGGTTGATTGGTGTATGAAATGTTGAGATATTAAACTTCTCCACAGGAACTATATATTTAGCATCAATATGCATGCAGATGGAAAAGAAAATGTCGAGATTGGTGTTTGAATTACGATAGGGATTCATGTGTAAGGTACATGGAAAATGAGATTGGCAATTGTAATATGGAAAATATTCCTGTCTTAGTTATAAGGAAAATATAACTCAATACGAGTATCCTGTGATCTATATGTGGAAACAGTTGGGACAAACAGAGAAGCTACAGATTTCAGCAGTCTTTCTCTTAAGTGAACTTTAGCTGATGCTTACAAACGCACGTAGGGTGACAAGAATTTGGCACCATATATGTTATTAGACTTCTAGGTTTCCATAACAGATATATGAGGCACTTCCAGTACACAAGATATAGGCATAGCACAAAACAAAGTGTCAACAAATATATGAACCTGAATGAAATTCAATTCTGACTTATTTGTTAAAGTAACTTGATAGGGGATTCATGGATCTGTCATTCCCATTCATTTGGAATTAATGACAACAGAAAGTATATAAAGCTGAACAGAACCAAGCATAAGATTTCTTCTATATGAGAGTAATTATTATTTTTTAAACAGAAGTCATCCATTTCGAATAAGTTTACAAGCAGAAATTTCCCTCAAGAAATAATAAGGTGCTCTCTACTTTGCTTTCTTCACTGAGTATAAACAGAAGTTACATCCAATCATTTAATTGCCTAAAAAAAAGCATATATTCACAGCCTGTATATGTGTGAATGCAAAAGCTCAAATCAATTTCTTGTGAGAAAGGCTGAAAGAAACAGGAAAGATTTAACATAGAAAAATAATTCTTTGCCATCCATATAAAACTCAGATCAGGCAATAGTCTCATCTCTCTATATATTCATAAGAGAAAATACCTGCAACTCTTTCCAGTGATGAAGTCCACCAAACCTTCCCATAAATTCTTCCAAATGCTTCTGATTGACTCGAAGAAACCATTTGCACTGGTCTTTGGTGGTTGAAAGGGAGTAATCTGCCAAAAAGAAATCAATATTTAAATTTTTCATTGAGTTCATAAAAGTGGAATAAAGGGTAACTCATGAGCATCACCTTTGTTTTTATGTTATTGATTGAGGTACCAGCTAATTCTTAACCAGTGTCAATATTTAGAGGTTGAAAGGAAGCAAATTCATTCACTAGGCTATGTTTAAAGAGTCAATAGACCTAAAAAAAATTTATCATTTCCAAGAAAAAATACCATACAACTCTTTTACATGAGTAAACTTGCACTAACTGGTGAACGACTAATTCTTTTCATCATACAAGTGGACCTAAGTAGGGACCTCACTCCTCCATAGTCTATGTACACACGATAGGCAGCCAACAAATTCAACTGATACATAAGGGCACAAATATCTAGAATCCTTTCTTTATAAGAATAGTTTAAACCCCTTTCCCCCACCCAAGATGGTGGAAAAAAGAGATGCTTGAGCTCTGTTTAGAACATTAAGATATTTTTAATTTTTATTTTCTAAATATATCAAAAAATTTAAACAAAAACATTTATAGTTTTATGAATTACTTCTTTTCTTTTATTTTCTAAAAATAATTTTTAACCACACAATTTTTTTATATCTAAATACAAGTATAAATATTAAAACAATAAAATATCTTCATGTACCAAGTGGATCAATTTTTTTTCAGTATCTAAAGAGAACACAGATTATGCCTATTTATATAGATTTAGCATTACTCCACACAAACTTTCTTATCATAGCAATATAATTTGTATTCTCAATTCTTGCTACATTTCTCCCTCCTTCAATTTCCATCTATATCAGACCTAAACATTAAGACACAGGGGCTCTTGCTTAAACATGTATGGACAGGTGAAACAATTATTTTAATGTGATATCCCACTTCTACATTGAAAAAATATGTGATTATTGATCACCATAAAAGGACTAAAATCAAGTATCAATAACTTGATTTTGAGCTTTTGAGAGCCGGTGGTTGGATCCAAAAAGTCACCAAGTTAGTGGTACCTGGGTCGAGGGTATTACATTTAAAGTGAGTATATTTCAACAATAAAAGATATGATGCAGAACCAACAAAAGAAAACAAACATGTCGCAAAATTTTACACTAAAAGGAATAAGAAGATTTCATTTTCTTTTGTAGTTTCGGAAAATTTTACAATAAAAGGAAAAAGGAAGATTTAATTTTCTTTTCCTAAGTAGTCTCCAATTTCTTTCCGTTTAGCTTTTTTCCTATTATTTAGATTTTTTATTTTAATTGCTATAAATATAGTATCCTATTTTAGTTGCTCAGTTTACTATTCATAATTACTATTTAGATATTGAGATATTGTTTTGATTATTTAAATTCGAGATCTTTAATTTTGGTTGTTAATGAAATTCTTCTAACTTTTGTCTTCAAACTCTCGTTTTCCTAAATAAGTGAGTATTAGTGCCTAAATTCATTTCACACGCTTCTTTAAGTTACTCAGCAACCCACTTCCAAAAAACACAACCCATACTTCCCAAAATGGTCTCTCTTTCTTCACAAAGCCAAAAAGTAAAAAGCAGAAAAATCCTAAAATTCTAAAACAACCATCAACAAGATAGTTGACAACAACTGTCGATTAAAGCATTCTCCGGCCACTGCGTAGAGGTGGTTGACACTGTTCCTTTCTTTGGCTCCAGAGAATCTAATCTAGCCCACCAAATTTAAACACTCACTGTTGCCTTGTCGAAACTCCTTTTCCAAATTCCTCCTTTTCAGCCACGATGAGTAACACCAACACCAGATCTGAGATAATGCATCCCATGGAGCTCCCCACTAGATCTGAGACTAGCTCTTTTTTGCTGGTTGATAATATCAAGAAGTAATATTTATCCATCCACAAAGTTAATTTAAGAATTAACATGTTGGATTGATGAAAGAAAAAATAAATACGATGCTATTAGTATTATGGCGTCATGTTGTAAAGGGCTTGAAAGATGGCTTATGGACATCAGTTATATGCTTACTAATCCTAATTATTCAACTAGTGAGCTTCTTCGACTCTTGGACCAACTTGAGTATCGTCTCTCAAATGTATATTAAGAGTCATCTAAGTCAATGTGAGATGCACATTGTCCATTATTAAAAACATTGATCGGTGATCAACTTCTCAAGCACTTAAACATCTTTGTTATAGTTAAAGTTGCTTACTGCATATGTGAGCTAAGTAGAATAATTACACCAAATGTTCCTCATGATGACAGACAGATAAGAAAGATTTTTGAATTAATTTTTTCTATATTTAAATTACTAAGTGACTATACAAGGCATCACATGTTAGTGATATCTTTATTCTTGAAATAATTAGAAAAACTAAGCTATATCTGGTGATATTGAACCTTGATTGAGAATGATTAATTAAAGAAATATTCCAGCATTTCCTCAAGTCTATCCGACCTTGATAGAAAAATGTCCTCTCATACATAACCGAGATCGTAAGCACTTTTAGAATAAAGTAATTATATCTCAATAGAATTGCTATCTCCACTTCTGAATAGTGTTCGAAGAGATAAGGAAAAGGTGTCACCAGTTGCTCATGGGTTAGTAAGAAGAGTTCTTGCAAATTGTTCTATTAAGCTTAACCATTTTTTTCGCAAATGACCAAATCATCAGGAAATGCCCGCAGAATTATAGTGATTTAGTGACCACCATATTGCAACAACATCTCTTTCTATGAAGCAAGATGCTCTCACTATCGTTGATGATAATGATGCTGCGGCCACTAGATACTACGATTTATCTCTGGATAATCATACTTTCATTGATGACCTAACTCATGAGAGCAAGTCAACAAATGAAGTTACCAAAGAAAACATTGACGATCCAACTAATGATAGCAAGTCAATAGATAAGACAATCGTGGAAGTTGTGGAAAATGCTGCAATTTTTATTCTTCAAATTGAATTATCTGATGATGTTTTTCTCAATTTAGTTGTAAGTAATAATGTTATTAAAGTTGAAAATGATGATATTCTCAAGAAAGAGGTCACACCTGAATATACTACTCTAGAAGTTCCATTGACTCCTAACAACAATGAGGAAAAGTTGGCTATTCTTCCTTTTCTGGATTTCACAATTGATTCATTATTTTTTTCTGAATCGTTAATTTTTTTAAGCATTCATTTTATCTCATGACAGTTTCAAATTTTGCAAACTTCAAGTGTTACTAAGGCAAGTTTCAACTTTGATATTCTGTTAGAGGTAATACTATAGTGTATTAGGGAGAATAAATGATGAATATTTAATGGGCGGACAAGTACATTAGAGAGAATAGGTAAATATGTGTTATGTATAAAATAATGTGTTAAGTGTGTATATGTGCATTAGGGAGAATAAGTCTACATAAGGATAAGGAGAAAGTTACTTCTAGAAATAACTTCCAGATAACTACTCTTTCTTGCATAAATACAGAGTATACTCTTTGACAGAATTTTAGGCAGGAAGAAATTCATGAAGAACTGTTGAGTACTTTATTACTCAAGAGATCATTGAGTTCTCTCTTAATGAGTCCATATTATTTCTAAAAAATCAAAGATCATTAGGTTTTCTCTAACGAACCCATATTATTAGCAAAAGCCCATAACAAGGTCCGTAGATCAGGAGCGTAACAATTTTGTATCAGTGCTATGGGTAATATTATGGTGTATTAGGGAGAATAAATAATGTTTTAAGTGGGTGGACAAGTGTATTGGGGAGAATAGGTCAGTGTATGTTGTGCAAAATAATATGTTACATGTAGACATGTGTATTAGAGAGAATAAGTTTAGATAAGGAAAGGGCAGTAGTTAACTCTAGAAGTAACTTTCAGATAACTACTCTTTATCTTGTATAAACATAAACTATCTCTTTAAAAGATTTTTAGACAAGAAGAAATTTATGAAAAAATATCGAATACTTTTTTATTCAAGAGACTGTTGGGTTATCTCTTAGCGAACTCATACTACTAGTGAAATCCCATAACAAAATTTGTAAATTGAGATCATAACATATTCTTTCTATTTCAACACTTCAAAACCGATATTGAGTTTTCACCAAATAGGACAGAAAGATACAAAAACAAAAAATTTTAAAGTAGATATATTTCAATAACAAGAGATACGATACAGAACCAATAAAAGAAAATAAAGTGTTGGGAAGTTCTAAACTAAAAGAAATAGGAATATTTAATTTTCTTTTCCTAAGTATGCTCCTAGTTCTTTTTATTGAATTTACTTTCCTATTTTCTACATTTTCTATTTTAATTATATTTTGGAGCCTATAAGTAAGGTTGTTTAGTAAATTAATCATGTTATTATTCAAATATTATAATATTACTTTGATTATTGAGATTTGAGATCTCCAAGTTTTGCTTCTTAATGAAATTCTTCTAATTTTTATCTTCAAGCTCTCTTTGTCTTACATTAACAAGTCTCCAAATGTAAGTCACAAGAAACCTACGACAACTTAACATTTGAAAGGAAGTTTAAAATTCAGTAATTTGCACAAACTTGCCCAAACAAATACTAAATCTTCAACAAGATTTACAAAGAACCAGGTTTTCATAACCTCAACCCATTTATGTTTTCTTGCATTAGGACACACACCCCTGAGCATCCTATTAAAATCTGTTCTACTTATTCCATCTACAATACAATTATAATCATGTTTATCCTGCATGATGAAAGCCTTATCCTTGGAAATGGATAAAACTACCAAAACATCCAACACTTGTTTTTGTTTTCCCTATCCTTCTGAAAAGAAACAACAATGTCCATAAATCAAAAGTTGAGATGAGCAAACCTGTGATCCATTGTCGAGGACAGTAGCTGTAGTACTAAATTGACACTCAGCTCTATCAACTTCGTTGAACTCAGAGTCCTTTAGTATGGCTAAATTCAAGAAGACCAATTTAAGAGAGAGCCAATATTTTCTGACACCTTCATTAAAGTTCCAAAAACAACCAAGGGAAGTGGTTAATCTTGCCTGCACAAAAGTATTTTGCTGCCTTATCAGTTGTTGGATGCAGCTTAAACGAACGAGTAGTACTTTCCTTGGGCTTCATAATGAAGAATTGTTCCTACAAGAACCTTGACTTTCAAACATGCAGCTTTCACTAATTTTAATATCAAGATGCTGATTAAAATATTGAACACAAAATTTGAAAAGAAAATGCAAAAAGGAAAGTACCTCTAGAAGGGCAACACCTCTTGAGCAATCAAACTACAGAGAAAAAACTTGAGTGAAATTAGACGAAAATTGTCTGGTGGTTCAGTTGAAGAAATAGATAACATAGTCATATATAAAGTTTTAGCATGTTTCTAGTCGCTTCAATTTTCCATTTTGGTTATATTTTCATCTAGCTAATCTGAAGGTCCAACCCAGCAAACAGAAAATCCCAATAATAGCTAATTAATAATTATCATCTTCCTTGAATAGGGTGCTAACCACCACTAAATACACATTAGTAGATTGTCTTTCCATAATAACAAGTAGAGGCCATCAGAAATATGGTAAGACATGAGGAGCTTTCTAGAAAATTGTGCTGTGAACTTTTCGTTCCAAGTAAAAGCAGCATAACTAGATATGCTAGAGCATTGCCATTTTCATCACAAATTAGATCCCCCATAAAAGAAACTATGGAGGTCCTATGACTGTAGGCATAATAGTAACACCAAGCAGTTCTCAATTTGTGAAACAAAACATTTAAAATTCGGTAGGCTATCTTAGTCAATGTAATCAACCTAGGCATTCAAAAAATTAAATTATTTGTGGTCCAAGCAAAATGTGATGCAAAGTGGAAAAGAAAGACCATGTTCTAACAGGATATAGGATATTTCAGCAACATTATACCATATGAAGAAAACAATTTTAAAATAATTAAAAGAAGAAAGAGTTGAAGATACCGTTAAGCTGTATGATGCCTCCACTTCACCTATATTCTGAGTTGTAACCTTTGCAACTCCAAATTGAGTAAGAGCTTCAAATGTTGGGATAGTGACACTTAATATTTTCCCAGGGCTCCTACAAAAACATGAAAACCTATAACATATAGGGGCAGCAAGTGAAGCAAAAGTTGTGGGATTAACATCCACTGAAAAGATTAGATGATTCAACATAAACTATAGAACTCAAATGAGTGATGGAATTACTAAAATAAGCAAGATAATTTCATATCAGTTCCCATGCACAAATTTTATTCTAAACCTTTCTAGAAGATGTTATTGAAAAGCTACTTGATATCACCGTATTCCTCTTACTTCAGCAGGATTCTAATCAATATCATTTCAATAAAGGCAACAAGGGTTAAATGTTTTTATCTTTTCATAGAATTTCTATAACAGAATTCTGAGGATAGCAGCTTTTTCTAAAATTAGTTTTATTTGCAAGAAGGAAGAGACATGTACATTATTAATAGAGGATACGAGATGCTTTGAAAACAAACAGAAACAAAAAGAAGAAAAAGAACAAAGTAAAAACCCCAAGGAATCAATACGAAATGGTGTCCTAGTCTCTTTGCAAAATAGCAAAGAGATACCACAAAAGCCATATGATTGCAAAGAAAACAAAATGGGTAGAACACAATCTTCAGAGAGCCTCACATTTCTCCCCAAACACAGCACCCACAAACAACAAAGGAAGTTCCTTTCCTGAGCAGTCTTCCTTCTTCCCCTTCCCTTGAAGGAAAGAAGAAATATAGCATCCAGTCGAGGGGGAGAAACCCACTTCAAATCAAGAGTAGAAAACAACCTTATCAAAAGTCTGCAACCTACATTCCGATGAAAATAAAATAAAAAGAAAAATAAAAAATAATTACAGGAATTTAGCCTCCAAAACACATAAAAGGTATTTGGAAAAAGAGCACGAGTGTGCCAATATGCTCGAAGCAAATCATTTGTGTTAAGCTTACCAAGAACAGTTGTAAAGACAAAAACCGTAACTTTAAAGAGAGCCTTTAACTTTCAAAAAGCACTGATAAAGGCCACATTTTTATTGGTAAAACTACTAGCGAGATAAGTAGACAAGGATTTACATGGATGTAAACCTGAAGAATCCCAAGATGGCGCTCGCTTATCAAGAATGGAAAAATTAAATAAAAAGCTCAATAAGTGCAAGAAGGTCATGTCAATTATTTCTCGAACATTTGAGATTCCTGTGAAAGAACGTATTCCAAGAAATATGACCTTTGTTTTGGACCATGAAAGTTGACGTTGTGATGAGAACCAAGGCGACATGCATCAATCAAGAGACCATACAAGTCATGGAGATCACAACCAAGGCTATCCAAGGGAGGAACTGTGCGGCCAAGGGTATGCAAGGGAGGAACCGT